TGTTTTGGTACTTTTTAAAAAAATGTTTGTGGAGTTTTTGTTGCAAAGTTGTTGTTTGTTTTTTTCTTTTTTAAAGAGCAACATATAGAAATTGTTGTAATGACTTTTGATAAAGTCTATGTATAGTCTATGTCTATGTAATTTTGAGGGAGCTATTGTTTCAGTTATAGTTTTTTTCCCCATTAAGATCCATTTTAAATTCTGTTCTTTTGTCCAGTTTGTATTTGATGGAGAAGATCAGGCCAGGTGCAAACACTGAACACTTTTCACACATGTTCAAAATGTCATTATCCTTATTTTCCTCAGAGGTTCTTATTTTACCTGTAAATGAAATTCACTGTCGCTGTCACCTCATCAGTCATTCACTGTCTCTAATCTGCCTCTATGTCAACACAAATGTTGATGTTTTAACGCTTCAAGCTTGATATAAAGATTAAATATACAAACACACTCCCTACACTTTTTAATTAATTTCTTGTTTGTATTGATGATATTGTTTGTCTTTTTTCATAATTATTGTTATATATTTGTTTGGACTTGTTTGCAAACACTTTATAATAGGAATAATATTTCCAGTATAATTTTGTACCGAGCAAAGTGTTCTCCTTCCTCCAGCAGCTCACAACAGGTGCACTGGTGTAGAAAACAAACCTTTATCAAGTGCACAGCTACTCACAGTCTCCACGGTCTCAGTGTAAAGACGGACAGTGTACAGATTTTATTCTGAGCTGAGGAGGATGAATGTGTAATATCTGAATCTGACACTGATGACCGATCACAGAAGACGTCAGTTTAGTCAAGATTGTTCCAACAGGGAATTTGATCGTCTGAACTTCTGATAATCGACTGTATGAGTGAGGGAATGAAACCTTTTATCACACACCTTCAGTTCAGGCAGGTGGGGGAGGAGCCAGAAACACGTGATGTTCAGGTAGAACTACCGCGATATATTTCCCTGTCACCACGAGGTTGGTCTCTGCATCTGGAAAAAAGAACAAATAGGAAGCAGGGAGTCAGAGCACATGGATGTACAGTGCTGTGTGTCTGGTGATTTCTGAGTTCTCTGAGGATTGTCACTGACAAGGAAGGTGAGTGAGGTGTTTACTGTCAGTCGGTTATATCATAGATTAATAAGCACTTAAAGAGACTTTGGCGGTGTTGAAATAGTTAACGCGCCTCTACCAAAGAGAGAGAAAAGGCTGAACAAGCCCAAAGAAAGAGCTTGTATGGACATGAAACAAACTGAATCCACAGTGAACTTTGCTTTATATTCTTTGTCGCTGGATTAAATATTGTGCTCTGGCTACACAGCTGATTTCATTCGCTGATGACTGAATTCATTTGCCAGTTTCTGGTGGGGAAAATTCAGGCGTGCTACTGTGGACAAGAGTCTGAAAACTGGGATTAAAGGTGCAGGAAAGAGAGATTTACTGAACGATTGGTGCATAAAACCAACCAAAGACCTTCAGTTATTCTGTTCAAACTTCAAAATAAAGGCATGTTGCTTCATGTGTTACAGACACTGAGGGTTGTTTGCATGTATGATGCCATCTCACCAATCAGTGACATCATCCACGTCCATGTCTCTGTTTTTTCTTTGCAGCACGGTGCTAAACGTGGAGTGTCTTGAACAGGAGGATGAACGTTATCAGATGGACCTCTCTGTTCATGGTTGTTCAGTGTATTTTTCTGCAGGTGACTCATTCCAGAGGAGGTGAGGCGTTCACTGCCTGTCTGAACTTGTTTCAGTCAGGATATAATTAAATGTTTCAACATGCTGTTTTATTTTAAGAATAATTTTTACGAATGACAACAATCTTTATTATTCTATTTAAGAATTAAACAGACCATAAAACAGTTAGTTTTAGGTTTCAATATGAGGGCAGATGTTTTCTTCCCATCAGTAACTGAGTTTCAGCAGCTCATTAAATACTCATTTGACACAGACGCATGCTCTGTGTTGTACCAGAAACCCTGAATATATATATATTGCTGAAATGTTCTTGGGAGGTCAAAACATATTTTACAGTTTCCTAAATGTAAAATATGCTGGATAATTAATACAGAGAAACATTATACAATAACTAAATATGAGTATGTTTTTTGATGCAGGTCTCTTATTAACAATTTGTTGTTCTGTTGCAGACACTGAGGTGTTCTGTGTTGTCATGGAGAGCTGCATCTTACCGTGCAGCTTCCAGGGTGACACTGATGTGGTCATCCACTGGATTCAGGTGACAGCAGGAAACAGTCCTGTCCATTCCTTCTACCACAACAAAGACCAGCTCACTCACCAGGACCAGCGCTTCAGCGGCAGGACGTCACTGTTCACGGACCAGATCTCAGGAGGAAACGCCTCCCTGCAGCTGACAGGGCTGCAGGTTCAGGACCAGGGGAGATACAAGTGCTACACCAGCACCAACAGAGGAAGGAATGAATCATTTACCAACCTGAAAGTGGACGGTGAGAAACACAGTAAATATAGAAAATACAAAACAAAAAGGTTTTTCAGTGCTGCAGTAAATCCTCCTTCATGAAGGTCCTGATGTTCAGTTCGTGTTGAAGATTGTGTCCAGTAGATGGACATTTTATCTTTAATCCATGTAGAACAATGAAGACGCCATCACTATTATTGTTATCCAATATATTCTAAAGAAACTTCATATAAAGCAAAAGCTTTTTTCATTGTTTACTTTCTTTGCAGCTCCAGTTGGTAAAGTCGACCTCCAGCAGGTGGGAAACAGGATCACCTGCAGCTCAGAGGGGATCTACCCTAAACCTGAGCTCACCTGGTCCACCAGCCCTCCATCCACTGTGACCTTCAAGAACCAAACTGAAGTCCAGGAGACTGAGCAGCTGCTCTACAACATCAGAAGTTCTCTGACAGTTTCAGACAGCGACTCTGATCTGAGCTACAGCTGCAGCATCAGCACTCGCAGAAACAAGAGGAGAGCCACCTTGTCTAAAACATGTGAGTAAAGATGGAAAATATATGACTACAGCTTTAGTTACTAGGTACGTTACAGATTCATATTTTCCATGAAAGATGTTTAATGAATATCATACACCATTCTGGACCGTTTACACAAGGTGGGTTGGCTTCATGGATTTATGCAGATTCTGACAATTTGTATAATTCTTCAAAAAACCAGATTCAGAGTTTGTAAAAAAATAATTTCCTTTTCTTCCATGTTTGCCCGTTTTGTGTTTCGTCATTTCAGCTTTTCTCAATGTTTCAAACACTGGAACAACGATCCCCTGCGCTGCCTCAAAGTCCTCCTTCAAGAGTCTGATCTGGAGATTCAACCACATTCTGATCGTCCTGACCCAGACCAGAGCTGACGTCTCCTCCTCAGTCTCAGAGGGCTGGAGGCAGCAGGTGAAAGGTGTGTCAGAGTCAGGCAGCCTCATGCTGCAGAACTTATCTCCACATCATGAGGGAATATACACCTGTGAACTGAGTGATGCTGAGGAGACACTGATAACCAACACCTTTCTGTGGATACAGAGTCCAGGTGAGGCAGCATGAAGTGAGGAACTGTTAGTCTATATGAGTGAGAACTGTTATTAACTGTAATATCTGTATTTCTACTGCAGATGAGGATTCAACCAATCATAGAGTCATTACAGGTGTGGTGGTTACAGCTGTTTTGGTCTTAGCAGCAGCAGCAGTTGTTCTTGTCTGGTACTGTAAAAAGAAAAGAGGTAAAATAATGTTCCTCCTACACTTTAATAAATGTCTTGTTTGTTATTTTTATTAATGATGTTGTTTTTTGACTCAATATATCTCCCAGGTGAACAGAGAAACAGGGAGAGAGAGTCAAACAACGATCAAACACCAATGTAAGTAAATGTTCTGTATTAGAAAAGCACTGCTGCTGAATGAACTTGTTAGAACCAGTTTTCTAACGTCTCGTCTCATTTATATTTCCTCCAGTCACTTTCTAGATCATGGTATAGTGTAATTTAATTAATAAACCAATGAAATCTTTTTCCATCAGTTGAAATCTAGTTTGAAATTAACGGCTGTCTTGAATAAAAAGATGATCTCAATCAGAGTGAGAGTGTCAGACGACTGGAAGCAGAAATTAACTAAATACATGACATGAAAACATGAAAATCACTGAGATAAATGAGATTCTTTAGATTTTACCTCTATATGTTTCTGATTCTGAATTTTATTTTATTTTGTTTTCAGGGAACTGGAACCAATGAATGCAGCACGTGATGACACGTCACCATTGGAAAGTAATTGACTTTTTCTATTTCAGGGAATTCAACCAAAGTTAAAGGCATTATAGCTGGGCTGGTGGCAGCCATTTTGGTCCTAGCAGCAGCATTAGTTGTAGTAGTAATAGCAATACATTAAAAAGAAAAAAGAAATAATATAGAAAGAAAGAAAGTAAGAAATAATGTTCTTCCTACATTTTTTAATTTATTTCCTGTTTGTACTGATGTTTTCTTTATTTTTGGACAGATAACAACTCTAAGATCAACAGAGACAGAACAAGAGAGTCAAACAATGGCGAAATACAAATGTAAGTAAATCTTTTGTATTAAAAGCACTGCTGCTGAATGAACTACCGTTAAAACTCAGTTGAGATCTAGTTTGAAATTAACAGCTGTCTCGGCTAAAAGGAGTTTCATAAGAAGAAATCATGATTCATGTGATGGTTTATTTTGCTCTGAAGACGTTGTTCTTTATACTGGACAAGAATAAATAAGAGATTGTTTTGGTTTTACCTTTATATGTTTCTGATGCTGAATTTGATCTCATTTTGTTTGCAGAACAATAAAAGCCACAGAAGGAACAAACGAAGAAACGCCTCGTCAGAACGGTGAAAACCTCACACCCCCCCCTCTGCCTGAAAGAACTGAAGACACTTGGGTGTGATGTAGCACATGACTGAACATGGAGACTTTTGTGTCATATGGACAAGAAGTACTAGAAGAAGAGTTCAAGATTAACAAACCTCTCCACGTTAGACTGAAGGAGTAACTGATGAACTGATGCTCACTTTGTGTCGTCCAATATTTATGATGTTTACTTTGTGATTTTATCCAAGAAAGTTGGAAAACTTTATGTTTGAATATATGAAGTTTATATATGCTGAAATAATATGAAAGATTTTTCTAGATCTTTTTTTATTTAACACCAGTGAATTTAAAATTTCATCCATAAGTGGATGTAAAGGATATTTTAAGGTCAGAGTTTAGATTTGTTTTTCTCAGAACTTCTTCTTTTTTCCGACCCCTGAGATTTATCTGGTGTCCGTTCACAAAACTGCACATACAGTAGAAGAGTCCAGCTCCACCTCCAGCAGCTACAGCAGTAACATGCTGCTGACACACTGATGCCTCAGTATTGATCATCCAATGATCACAGATATAACAACATGTATAAGTGAGAGGGATGGAACCAGCTGTTTTACTTTAATACTTTCACTACATTTAGCTGCTTGTACTTTATGTACTTTTACTTCAATAGGATTTTTCATGTAGGACTTTTACTTGTAATGAAGTATTTTTACATTTCTGTATCTGCACTTTTACTCTGGCGGGTTTGGGCCAGAGCACTGTGACACCTTTATGCAAGATTTAACATTTGTCTGCTTTGCCCAGTGGCCTCTGAGGCTACATGGATCAATAAACAACATTTGATGACTGTTTCACAAAATATTTCGTATTTTTTATTTACAGATTTGAACTGTCATTAAACTCATTTTTAAATTTAATTAGAAAGATCATGTTGTTGGGGCTGGGTGAAAACCAGACTTTGAGAAGAAATGCAGAGTGTGTCCATAATCAACCTTTCAGATTAGTTGTGCAGACATGAGACTTTCTGCTCCAATGAAAGCACATCGTTTTTCTTTCCAAAAAAGAAAAAGAAACAAAAGAAGAAATCAGTGGGTTGGGTGGGAAAGTCTTTTTTGCTTCGTAATGTTCCTAACAGACGTAAATGATCCAGATGAATCTGAGCAGCTTCACGATAAGAGCTCTCCTCTAAATGATAAGGAAAGGAGCTTCAATGCCTCCTATCTTATTTCCTTCAGCACAGGAAACACTCTATGAAAGGGGACGAGCTAAAGTCGTCCCACAATTCCCTGCAGCGGCAACATTTAAAGTGACACACCAGTGTATTTGTATTTTTCTGTCATGTTTTCTCATTTCAACATTTCGATCGTGTTTGATTTTGTTTTTGTGGAAAGGAGGATTTATCATTAAGAAAAAAAAAAAAAGCTGAGTGTAAGTGCAGAGAGATTCAATCCTCACAGCGATCGTGAATTCTCCTTGACCTCATGACGTTTTGTGTCAAGGTCAAGGAGAAGTAGTTAGGAAAGAGGGATTTATTTTCCAAGTGTTATAAATTAAGTTAGTTTAATAAAAAAAAAGCTGAGTGTATCTAGGTAAAGAAGAAGTGATTGATTTGACTTTTCAACCGCAGCCCAACACTGTATTACAAAGAGACTTCCTTCCTCCTTTTTTACGCTTAATGTTATTTCTTCCTCTTTATGCGAGAGAGAGAAAGAGACAGAGAGAGAGAGAGGGAGAGAAAGAGCGAGAGCGAGGGGTGGAGAACTCAAAGAGAAGATGTCGGCAAAGATTGTTGAATGGCTGCTCCTGACTTCTCCATGGATGTTGACCAGAGGAGGTGAGTGAGGCTTTCACAGCCCATCTGATTGTTTTCTAATCTAAAGAACCTAAATCTAAACAAAATCAGACATGTTTAACTTGGTATGTAGTGTTGCATGAAGTGTGGTCACAATCTCACAAATACACTGCATCCAGTTGTTTCAGGAAACCACCGCCTTTTTTAAAACCAAGAATTACCCAGTCGTGGTTGTATGTATATGTATGCTCCTGCCAAGCAGCTGTTAGAGAAGATGGCATCATAATTTCCTGAGTCAGAGCATTGAATGATACAGAGGCGTTTTTTGCACAACATTATGATGTAATTGACCATTTGGATATAAAATATTATCACTTCATTTTATCCCTGACCTTTGACCACCAGATTTTAATCAGTTTATCCTTCAGTCCAACTGAACGTTTGTGTCAGATGTAAGGAAGTTTCCATTGGGCGCGCCTGATGTGATGCATTCACAAGAACATGAGATCATCATGACCTTGAACTTTGACCACAAATTTCTTTAAAGAAAGCTCTCCTGGATTCAGCTGCCATTTTCCCTGAACTGAGCTTTGGTTGTCGTCTCTTTACCTGATGTGTTGCAGACACTGAGGTGTCCTGTGTTTTCATGGAGAGCTGCATCTTACCGTGCAGCTTCCAGGGCGACACGGATGTGATCATCCACTGGATTCAGGTGACAGCAGGAAACCGTCAGGTCCACTCCTTCTACTACAAGAAAGACCAGTTCAGCCACCAGGACCAGCGCTTCAGAGGCAGGACGTCACTGTTCACGGACCAGATCTCCAGAGAAAACGCCTCACTCCAGCTGACAGGGCTGCAGGTTCAGGACCAGGGGAGATACAAGTGCTACACCAGCAGCAACAGAGGAAACAATGATTCCTACATCAACCTGAAAGTGGAGGGTGAGAAACACACAGTAAATATAGTAAAGTAAAGTGCTGCTGCTTTGGATAATAAACATACTGTTATACACAAACTTATTCCATACTAACAACAGACAATATGTTGTATGTACCAACTGGGGTTCAGGCACGGTTGCCATTGTCAGAGCTGCAAAACACAAGATAAAGGAGAAAAAGAAACATACACTGTCAATTATTATTAGTATAGTGGATGCTGTAAACGGTTAAAGGTGGAAATTTTGGGAGACACTTTTGTTGCTGATTGCTGATCTGCCGGGATTATTCTTTTTTTAATCTTTAATCCATGTATAATATTGAAGACACAGTCACTGTTATCGCACATGTTCAGAAGAAATTCTATATGAAGCAAAACCCTTTTGTTTCTTTGCAGCTCCAGTTCGTAGAGTCGACATCTGGCAGGTAGAAAACAGGATCACCTGCAGCTCAGAGAGGATCTACCCTCAACCTGAGCTCACCTGGTCCACCAGCCCTCCATCCAATGTGACTCACCAGGACAAAACAACCAGGACTGAGCAGCTGCTCTACAACATCACTAGCTCTCTGACACTTTCAGACAATGATACTAATCAGGTCTACAGCTGCAGCATCAGCACTCGCAGAAACAAGAGGAGAGCCACTTTGTTTAAAACAAGTGAGTGATTTTAAAGAGTTGGGAACTTGATTAAATCCATGTGGTGGGTCAGACTTCCTCAAACAGCTGAAACTTTCATCATGACAAGGCTGCACGATGCTTTAATGCAAAATGTTCAGAATTGCATCAAATTTTATCCCTTTTTTCATTTCAGCTTTTCTCAATGTTTCAAACACTGGAACAACGATCCCCTGCGCTGCCTCAAAGTCCTCCTTCAAGAGTCTGATCTGGAGATTCAACCAAAGTCTGATCGTCCTGACCCAGACTGGAGCTAATATCTCCTCCTCAGTCTCAGAGGGCTGGAGGCAGCAGGTGAAAGGTGTGTCAGAGTCAGGCAGCCTCATGCTGCAGAACTTATCTCCACATCATGAGGGAATATACACCTGTGAACTGAGTGATGCTGAGGAGACACTGATAACCAACACCTTTCTGAGGATACAGAATCCAGGTGAGGCAGCATGAAGTGTTTATTATCTCTATGACCTGCAACAATGTAAACATCAGAAAACATCATTGAGGCATCATGGGAAAGTTCAAGTAACTGACTCTTACTATTTCAGAGAATTCAACCATGTTGGAGGCATTATAGGTGGGGTGGCAGCCATTTTGGTCATAGCACTAGCAGTTGGTCTTGTACTGTATCTTAAAAGAAAAAAAGGTAAGATTATGTTTCTTCCTATACTTTTTTAATTTATTTCTTGTTTGTACTGATGATTTTTTTGTTTGGACAGAAACATCTCTCAGATCAACAGAGACAGAACAAGACAGGTCAAACAATGGTCAAATTACAAATGTAAGTAAATCTTTTGTATTAAAACGCACTGCTGCTGAATTTAGACTAAGCAAGTCTCGTGACTAACCAGAGACTTAATAAATTAATGCGAATCATGGAAATGATGATTTGCTGTTTTATTTTGATCTGAAAAAGTTGTTCTTATACTGAAGAAGAATAAATGAAGATTGTTTTTGATTTTACCTTTATATGTTTCTGATGCTGAATTTTATTTCAATTTTGTTTGCAGAGCAATGGAGGGTTAAAGAAGGTGTAAATGAAGAAATACCTCAGGAATGATAAAACCTCACACTAAGAATCCAAACATTTGACCTTGAAGAAATGGACACCTATTAATGTTAAAAATAATATGGTCAACATCATCTGCTGTCCTGAGGCTCAACTGTATCAACATGACTGAACATTGGAACACTTGATGTCACAAGACAAGAACTGTTTAACCTTGGCTACCTCAAATGCATTGATTAGTTTGTGGAATAAAACACAAAAAACCTGTGTCTTTTAGTTTCTTCAGTGATTGATTCTTTCTTGTCTTTGTGTTTCATGACAGTTCTGTTTCTTTTATATAGAACTAAAATAACTGATGTGCAGTACCTAGAGTTTATTATAGAAGCAAATCAAAACAAAATTAAAGACTAACTAAACCACCACAGCCACAAAAAAGACCATTAAAATGAATTAATAAAGTCTCAAGTGTAATTCAAGGTAAAGTTGAAACTGGCCAAAATTATTTAGCTAAACTGTAAATTTCAGGTAAAGTTAGAAACTAGCTAACATAAGCCTCAACTGTAACTTAAGGTAAAGTTAGAAACTAGCTAATATTAGTAAAGTTAAACTGTAATTAAGGGTAGAAGTTAGAAACTAGCCAACATTAAGCTCAACTGTTACTCGAGGTAAAGTTAGAAACTAGTTAACATTATTTAGCTAAACTGTAACTTAAGGTAAAGTTAGAAGCTAGCGTAACGTTTAGCTCAACTGTAACTTAAAAGTTAAAGTTAGAAACTAGCTAATATTTAGCTCAAACTGTACCTCAAGTAAAGTTAGAAACCTAGCTAACATTAGTAAGTTAAACTTATTAAAAGGTAAAAGTTAGAAACTAGCTAACATTAACGTTCATGTGTAGATACCTGACACAATGTAATTGCATAAACTCTGGAGGTAAGTAAAGTCAAGTGTAGTATTTTGCTGCTGCTACTTACATTTACCTTCGAGTGTCAGTTCGTCTGTGTGAAGCTCCAGGGGTAGCGACTTGAGACGGAAGACACTGCATGGCAGTGAAAGCAGGCTGAGGAGACGCTCTTCAAACTTCGCTGGTAAAGAAATGGTACGGTCCACTTTAGGGGGTGTCTGAAATCACAAAATCACCACCGATCACAAAGCTCATCAACCCTGAGTTGTTTAAATACAATTTTCAATCATCAAAAATAAACGCGGCGCCCTTGTTGCTAGGATTGTAAACATTATCACACTAATATACATATAACTGAAAAATGGCTCCTAAACAAGAAATCTTTTTAAAAAAATAAATAAAATCCGATGATGTCACCATTGCAAATTATTCCTTAAATCAAATATGTATGTTTGAATCAATGCATTTAAACTTACCATAAATGACTGTCTTTTAGTTTAATGTTTCTGTTTTCATTCTTTTCATTGATATATGTTTGTTGTTCAGCTTTTACGGAAGAGGACTAGGGTCATATGTGATTTTTTATTATTTATTTAATTTTGACTTAAAGTCTAACTTTGACTTTTGTTTAAAAAAAATCACCGGGCCCTAATGTGGAAAAATAATATTTTATTAGAAACTCCGAATTCTGGATATTAAAGTTCAGAATTCTAAAAACGAAATTCACATTGGCCCAAATCCTCTTTGTAGTCTTTCTTAGCTCATGGAAAATCCATCAGGTGAAGTGACTTCACTCAGCAATAATCCGCCAAAATGAAAGTGAAAGAGCACTTGACAACCCGTGATTCTGTTACACCACTCAGCCAAGCCAGCAGAGGGGGCTGGATCGATTACCTCCTGTTTTACAGTCTAAAAAGAAATTCTGGCACAAGC